TGGCCCACATCTCTCAGGAAGAGGAGCTGGGCTGGGCTGGTCAGGCATCAGGAGACGGCCACCCCCGGAGCCGGCCAGGGAGACCCTCTTCATGACGACCGGACTTCCAGCTGGCCCTCTGCAGGCTCTGGGGAGGCCTTGACCAGAAGGAAAAGGAAGGGAGTCGGGCCGCTGACCCTCTTGGAAAGCCAACCCCCCCACCCCACAAGGTGTGCTCACAGCCACCCCGTGCATCAAGAATGCAACTTGCAAAGGTGGCCCCAACCCTGCTCCTCCGGGAGGGCTGGTTCAACCAAGTCCCAAACGCAGGCCTCCCAAGGTTCTGGGCGGCCACAAGAGGCAGAGAGGAGAACCTCTCCCTGGGCAAGAGATGGGCCACTGGGGGGTCCGCCCATCCAGCCGCCCTTCCTTCCTTCCACCCTGCCTGCCCCTCTCTCGTTGCCTGCCTGCCTGCCCTTCCTTCCTTCCTTCTATCCATCCATCCATCATCTCCTTCCTTCCTTCCTTCCTTCCTTCCTTCCTTCCTTCGTCCGTCCGCGTCCGTCCGCTGTCTGTAAAACAATTCCCCGCCCCCTCCTCCCGGCACCTTTGAGGGCAGAATCCACTTTCCTTCCTCCCTCTCAGCCCCTGAATGCAGCTGATTAATGGGAAGGACAGCACCCCACTCACCCCCCCACACTCACATTTTAATGCACTCCCATCTGCCTTGGTTTCAGGAGGAGCATCCCGTGTGCCAGAGGCTGCTCCCCACACCCCACGCCCCGGTTGCCCCTCACCCCACTCTCCACCTAAGGGGGACTGCTGGGGAAGAGGCACCTTCGCCACTGGGAGACACTACGATCCCACCCAACGGGGACCCCCCAGGGTCTCGAGGGGGTCTCGAGGGGGACCAGGCTTGTGCCCTCCTTACCCCGGAGATGTCAGCCACCCGATGGATCGGGACCTCCTTCTTGCTGTGCAGTCCTTTGCCGTTCTTTATAGCCCTGTGGAGGGAAAGGGCACGGTCAGGAGGGCCTCGTGTGCCCTTTGGGGCCCCCGCCTGGCTGCACCCAGGACGAGGAAGGGGCAGCGTCACCCCACAAGCCCGCCCGCCCACCTGCCCGCAGTGGCCCCCACGGCCGCCTGAGGGTGTTGGCCGGAGCCCCAAACCAGGCTGGACCTGAGCCAGAGTTTGAAGGCCTCCTTCTCCAGAGGAAAAGAGGCGCTTAAACAGAGCAGCTCAATGGCACCAAACATTGGCATGCAAAGCGCAGGGTGGCACTTGTCCCTGGCTCCCTTTTGTCATGCAAATCAGCGCCTGGCACGTGTTTCCCTCTTCTGCGGGAATGGGCTAGCCTGAAAACCAGAAGAAGCCCAGCGCTGGGCCTGGGTGCAAAGGGGGGGGGCAGAGGAGGAGGAGGAGGAGGAGGGCAAAGCTTCTCCCTCCCTGAGCGAGTCATGCCCAAGAAAAGAAAAGCAGAGCCTCTGGGGTGAAGGTAGCCAAGGATGCAAACAGGGGTTGGGGGAGGGGAGCGCTGGCTGAGAAGCACCCTGGGATTACACAGAGGTGGAGGATCCCCATGGGGGCCCCGGGACTCCTTCCTGGCCCACTTGCCAGAGTTAAGGCGAGGCACGCCTCCCGCCAGCCCCATGGCTGCCCTCCTCACGCGTGTGGGGTGGGGTGTGACGGGTTTGCTGCATGAATCTCCCCTTCCAGGAGACGGAGTCCTGCGGCAGACCTAGGGGAGCTCTTGCATGGGGTGGGGGGGCACTGGCTGAGGCACAGGAGGGTCCCCCCAGCTGACCAGTCTCAGGAGATTCTCTCCCACCCACCCCCACCCCCACCCCTTGTCCAAAGGCTACTTCATGGCCAATGAGGGCCATGCTGGTCCATGCCAGCAGGAAGGAGGGAGGGGTGGATATGCCCAACCCCACACCTGGCACCAACGACCCCCATGGCCAGGCTTTCATCAGCCCACGGAGGAGGGCCTCTGGACCCAAGGCCTCAGCCCAGATGCTGCCCCCCCCCCAGAAGTGGGGTGTGCGGGCGGGCGGAGCCAGAAGAGGTTGCCTGCACGGGCCGGCTGTTCTGCCCTCGGCCGGGCCCAGCTGGGCCGCTTTCCTGCCAATGGCCTTCCCCTCTTTTTCCTCCCCCTTCACGCCAGCAGCTTCCAGAGCTCCCAGCCGCCGCCTTCCTTCAAAAAGAAGCCATGCTTCCCCCCCCCTCCATGCTTGCCACCACCACCACCACCACCACCGTGGCCTCCTGCAACAGAGGAGGCTGGCTTTCACAACAGCGATGACGACGGTGCCAGCGCCGTCGCCCCTGCTGGGCTGGCTTAATGGCTGCTGCCCCCCCGGGGGCTGCCGTAGCGGCATTTGTTCAGCCTCGTCAAAGCCATCCCGGAGCGACTGCCGAGGCGGCCTTGCAGAACCAAGGGGGAGAGAGGGAGGCCGCTCCATTCCAAGAGGCGGCCAGCCAGCTGATATAGCCGGCCCCTGAGCAGCGTGGCTCCAGGCGTGGCCACTTTGCAGGAAAGCCAGCGAGCGCCATGCCAGTCCCGGGAAGGAAGCCTGTTCAGGCCAGCCTGCCTCCCTCTCCCTTGGCCTCCTGGGCTGGAAAGGGCAAGCCCTGGCGGGGCTCCAGCAAACCTGGGGAGGCTTTTGTGTGTGTGTGTGTGTGTGTGAAGGCCTGAGAGGGAGAAGGGCCCCTTGACGTGCCGGGGAGGCTCGTGTGTGTGTGTGTGAAGGTCTGAGAGGGAGAAGGGCCCCTTGACGTGCCTGCTTCTCTTTTGAGCTTCTGAAAATGCCAGGGGTTCCCAGCCTCCCCACTCCACGCCAGAGGTGGCTGTGGGCCACAAGGCTCATCGAGAAAGACACGGAGGGGGGGGCGTGTCCGACACACACACGTGGCCTCTGTGCCAGCAAACTCGTGTGTGTGTGTGTGAAGGTCTGAGAGGGAGAAGGGCCCCTTGACGTGCCTGCTTCTCTTTTGAGCTTCTGAAAATGCCAGGGGTTCCCAGCCTCCCCACTCCACGCCAGAGGTGGCTGTGGGCCACAAGGCTCATCGAGAAAGACACGGAGGGGGGGGCGTGTCCGACACACACACGTGGCCTCTGTGCCAGCAAACTGCCCAGGGGTCCTTGCAGCAGCACCACCAGAGCTGGGGAGGGGTGAGGTACAGCCAACCGCAGGCCAGTCCCAAAACTCCTGCGTCTGTGTGTGCATGGGGGGGGGTGTGTGGCCAGCCCTCTCCCCCCCCCATCCCCCTTCCTGCTCTGCGCTCCTTCCACCAAGCCCAAATGCTCCCAGGGGTCCGTGAACCCCTACTCTGCAGAGCAAATGGAGACCTGGAAGCTGTGCGCTCCCAGGGCAGCCATGGGGTTGGGCCCGTTCCAGGGAGCAGGTAAGCAGCTATCTGCGCATGGATCGAGACCCTCTCCACGGGTGGGCGGCCACCCT